TAGTCCATTGAGACAACAAGGAATAATACAATTATTCCTCCACTTAAAAATTGTGTCATGTGAGAATGAGAAAAAGGGTCTTACTGTAAATAGTGAATGGCAGTTAATGGAATTGACTCTTAAAAGATTTCCTTCGTTTTTGCAATTTATTTGTTTATTTATTTATCATATTTGCAGGAGTCCCAGGCCTGGTAACATAACCAGGTCTTGAGGGAATTCTGTAATGTCAAAAAGGATGGAGGAAGAATGTTCCATAAGGCAGAGGCCATAGCAGAGAAGGCCCATTTCCCAGGACTTACCAAATGTATCTCCCTAGCTCAGGGGTAGGCAACCTTGGCTCTTTTATGACTCGTAGACTTCAACTCCCAGAATTCCTGAGCCAACCATGCTGAGGGGAAGGAAGAGGTTTCCAAGCTGAGCCATGCTGGCTCAGGAATTCTGGGAGTTGAAGTCCATGAGTCCTAAAAGAGCCAAGGTTGCCTACCCTTGCCCTAGCTGATGGTACCCACACACATATCTCCTCTGTGAGATCTGATGTAACCACAAAGAGGCGGTCCTTTATAACCCATTCCTATGGCATGAAGAGTTTTAACGTTTGTTGGATGTTCTGGCAAAGCAGAAAGGGAACCACATCAGAATCTAACTGGATAACAATATTACAAAACTTATAGTAGTAACAATAGGAGGCAAAGGAGGAGGGATGATGACAGCAGCATCCTGCTGTTGTGATGCACGACCCATCCCTTAGGTACATGCAACATGATATGCACACATGTACAAAAGGTGTAGAACTTGCAGTGCAATGGCATTAGCCTGCTTTTTCACATGATTCTCTTCTGCCTTCTGATTTCAGAAGAGGGAGGATTATGTCCCATCATCAGTGGGAAGAAAAAAATCCTGATTCTCGTTGGTTGCCTTTTAGACACAGAATAGATTCCATTGTTGTTTCAAATAATGACATTTTGAAGTCTGGCTCTAAGTGCTAAGTGTGCCTTTTACTTAATTTTTATGCCTCTTGACGTGTCTACTTTCCTGTGATCCTCCACACCTCTCCCCTCTCTTTTAGTCACGATTCAGAGTAATAGCAACAAACAGGTTCACATAGAGTAAAGAGTTTTAATAATTATAACTACACAATACATAGCCTAAAAATAAGATTGTTCTTCTGGCCATAGCCACTTTATTTGAAATAATGCTGCATTTATTTATATAAAATTTCCAAGGAAATGGTTTTAAAGCTACTTCTTTAAATAAATAAATGTACTCTGCTAATTTGTTAAGTCACATTTTAAAATCAAGAATACAAACTAAAATTATTCTTAGTGTCTGTATGATAAGGAAGAACATTGTGAAAAGACATTCTCTCCATGCCAGATTTAAATAACTGACTATTGATTTATTCATCACACTTGTCATCTTTTGTTGGTATGTTTTATTCATTGTGTTGAAATTTCTTTGTTTGATTGTTGTTAGCCACCCAGAGCTGTTGGGAATTGGACAGAGGTTGGAGTTTAACCTTGGTAAAGACTTGATAGGTGGATAAAAATGTGAAATCCAATCTAGGCATCTGGCTGACTATGCAACTAACCATAATAATGTCTTTTATTTCATTTTCCTGCTCCTGAAAATGTGGAATTATTTTGTCAATGAAACATCTTGAAATGAAGCAAAGCCTTTACCAATCTCATATTTTCCACTAGATGGCACCATTTTCCAGTCAACTACACTGAATCCTAATTTTAGATCTAAAAAAACCTACTAGTACATTATTTCCTGTTGATGGTAGATAATATGAACAATTTATCCATATATGGGAATGAGAACACAGCAACGATAAGAAGTTAAATTAAATGAAAAAGACATCAGACAGTCCAACGGCTATCTGGGAAGACGTATGATACTATTTTAGAGTTGGGATGAGCTTTTACAATGCATTCAGATTTGCAATTTCCAAGCTTCAGAGTTCCATACTGGAACGCCGCCTAAACAATGGTCAGCAACATCTCTGAGACAGCAGCTTGTCCCAGAGTGACAGTCTGAAATAGGAGAATTTGAAATCCTGGGGACTGAAGCTGAGACCAGATGCCTCCAAGACATTGATTGATTTAAGAAACATGTATACTCCCAAGTAGATCTTAGTTGTTCACTGCTAAATCAGTCATGTAAAAATGGGATTCGGGAGGAACCCTTCTAATTTACAACAGAACAGGACCACACAAAACACAAAGCTGAAGTTTGGGGGGGGGGGCATGTCTAGGTACAATTTGAAATCCTGACCAGCTCAGATGACCTCCCAAGTTCTGGTTTGGGGTTGGGATGGTGCAGATCTCAGGATTTCAGATCAAGTCTCTGTCCAAATCTTTCCATCCTCCTCTATCCCTACTGTTGCCCAAATTACTGTCTTAAGTGATCTGCAGATCTTATTGTCATGGTTCCAACAGATGAAACTCTTCAAAAGAACTTTGAGGCATTGTTTACCTTAAAGGATCTTTTATTTGAGTAGCATAATATCGGCACTTACATAATCAGAGCCAAAAACTGAATTCCCCTCCCCTGGGCACATAGTATCAAAGCACAATTCCCTCCTCCAGTTAACAGTCATAAATCACATTCGCCAATTAGCTTGAAGCGGGCTTCCCCTCCAGCTCTCCAGCCTGCCAATTCTTTATCAGCTCTGGGCTCAATAACCTTGATTCTCACACTAGGCTTAGTGTTGTTATGTCTAGCTGGACTCTCATTCACATTCCCCCCCCCAGCATCATCTAACTATAAAAGCGAAAGGAAAAAGATGGCTACATTTCCATCTGTTGTCAATGCAAAAACATCCGATGTTAGCAGCATTGACACTTATAAGCTTTCAGGTTTTTGTGAGTGATGTTTGAGCCCATCCAATAAACATATTATTCTACTACAGATTTTGAAATAATGGAATGGTTATTAAAAGAGGAATCCATAAAAACAGTAAAAATTACACAATATATTTGAACGCCTTTTTTAAAATAAAGGACTTTGCTAGGCTTCTCTCAGATTTCCAGAGTTATGGAGCTTCAGCAAAGCTGCTGGACAGTCCTATTTATTACCACTGAGACCATGACTGATCTCAAAAAACTGCATAGAGTTAGATCTGGGTAGTAATTGGGTATGAAACTATCAGAGGATTGACCATCACTAACTGAGATATCAGAAAGCATCCAAAAGGAAGGCAACAGTAAAAAAATGATTTATGTGTGCTTGCCAAATATGCCACATCAGGGGTGTCAGACTGCTGGCCTGCGGGCCAGATACATCATACTGAAACCACACCCACCCCAGCTCCAGCAATGGGGAAAAAGTTGAGATATGTCGCGACATGTCATGTGACATTGCGAGTTTGACACCCCTGTGTTACATGGATGTGTCTTTGCAGTCACTAGGAATAACAGTGTGAAGGAGGTCTCACATACATAACCATTGATGGCAATTCAGGTAATCCTCGACTTACGACTACAATTGAGCCCAAAGTTTATGTTAAGTGAGAATTTATTAAGTGAGTTTTGCCCCGTTTTACGATATTTCTTGCCACTGCTGTTAAGTGAATCACTGCAGTCGATAAGTTAGTAACCCGGTTGTTAAGTGAATCTGGCTTTCCCATTGACTTTGCTTGTCAGAAGGTTGCAAAAAGTAATCACGTGACCCCAGGATGTTGCAACCGTCATATATATGAACCGGTTGCCAAGCATCTGAATTTTGATCACATGATCATGGGGATGCTGCAAAGTTTGCAACTATGAAAAATGGTCCTAAGTCATTTGTTTTAGTGCCGTTATAACTTTGAATGGTCACTGAATGAACTGCTGTAAGTTGAGGACTACCTGTACTTCATTTTTTTTCCTTAGCTTCCCACTTACAAGGCTGTACACTGGCAGTCTCTTTTTCCTCCTTTTTCTCCCACCTCACTTTTTAATATAAAGTTGCCTAGCACTCTGAGGAATATAAATCCCCATAATGTTTTTTTTTTTTTTTTGCTTTAGACGTCAAAAAAGCGTAATTCTAACTCTAACTGAAAATTTACTTTTATTTCCCTTAAACGTTTCTTCAGGACTAAAAATTATAAAAACTGGAAATGTATTATTCCATTACTCCCCAAACACCCCAACCTCAATCTAACAACCACTATGGTAGTTTAAGTGCATAGATTACAAGGACCCAATCCTAAGTGCAGATTTATTTATTTATCTATCAACTTTCTATATCACTCGTCACACATATTCTCTTTTAATGCATTTCCCCAATTTTTCCTAATCAGAATTAAAAATTACAACCCACCCAGAAATATTAGACTCCCACTATCCATAAAAAAAAAAATCTCCAAATCTAACAGTTATGCCCAATTCCCACAAAGACATCAAGGACAGCTAGCCCTGGCTGCTAATGATATTCCGCCCCCCCCCCCCCCCATATATTTATAGTGGCGAAACAGACTAGTTGAATTTTCCAATAATTACAAACATAAGTCTATTGTCTCTGTTCTTTCATCTTCTATAATGATCTCAAAAGCCTCAAAGGACAGCAATCTTGCAATTATCAAAGGATGAAAACTATATTTCTAAATTGGGATTGCTGAAATGTAGGAAGCAGGAAGTGGAACGTTTAAAGAGCACTAGTGGAGAGGGGAAAAAAATAGGCTGTGGCTCCTTTTGCATAACTGGTAGGTAAACTTGCTTTGACCTTTCAGAAAATCCTAGAATTCAGTGACAAAGAGGTCAGAGTTTACCGCAGCCTCCTCATGGGCTCCAGGGTGGCCTTTAAGAAAGAATAATTTTCACTGGGCAAAATGTCTATGAAGATTCTCAGTCATCCAGGTCATGGTTGTTCCAAAGGTGCTTTTTCAAGAGGCAATTGGACTTTCTTTGTTTTTTCTTGAAGATGTTTTGCTTCTCATCCAAGAAGCTTCTTCAGTTCTAATTGAATGATAGAGAGTGGAAGGATTTATATTTCTTGAGTCATCTGGTCGTTAGCACTCTTTCTGAGAGTCGTTGAGGCCACTTGGGGGTTTATCTGTGCTTGCAGGGTCACCTGAATAGTGCAAATGGATGTGGAACTTTCTTGGAACTGCTGAAAGGACTATGTTGTAAACAGGAGATGGGTGGTGTTGAATCACTCGCCCTCTGTTGGGAGAAGCCTATTCAATCTTAATGTAGATGCCCTCTTTGACTCCTCTTTCAAATCAGCAGTCTTCCAGAGTGGAAAGTCCTCGAGAAAAAACAAAGAAAGTTCAGTTGCTTCTTGAAAAAGTACCTTTGGGACTTCGCTGTGCAAACAGATTTATAAGTACAAGGCAGGTTTTTATCAAAAGAATAGCTAATATCACGAATCTCACAACGACAGAGACACAAACCAGTTCTTTTGGATTGATAGATATTTCAGGAAAGTATTATTGTGATTAGTAAAAATAATCATTATCAGCTTCCTTAGGAGATAATATAGTCTGAAGCAGCACTGAAGCCAGCTGAAACTATCCTAGCATAAACGGTTCTGGAACCCAGGGATTCCCACAGCACAAAAGTAAATAAATTGAATACATATTAAACAAACTTTAAAATATTTTGAAGAAGAATGGTGACTTTGATGGGCCATGTGAATTGAATTAGCCATCCCTGTAATGCTGCCCAAGCTAATAGAAACCATACAGTAACTATGCAAGACCTTCTGTCCTGGTTTCATAAGATCTGTCCAAAAAAACGTATTTCCCCAAAATGACCAGTTCAGCCCTCTGGCAAACATCAGACTATTCTACAGACACAGTAGAACTTTCTATTTCTTTGTGGGATGGGGGTGGGGGGTTGGGGTGGGTGGGTGCAAAGCTTTAAAAAGTTTTAGGACAGAATACAAAATTGTAAGTTAACAGAATGAAAGGAGTCAACTTCTTTCTTTCTTTCTTTCTTTTTTACAAAGTTTTAAGTTAACAGAATGAAAGAAGTCAACTTCTACTATGTCAAGAAATATTCATATTCAACATATTCCTGGTTGTAAGAAGTAGAGAGAGAATATTTTTTTCAGTGACAATAGAATAATAGTAGTATAATATTCTGAAAATGTATTTTAGAAAAAATATGTGGATTTGGAAGTTATATTTTTGTAGGTGAAAAATAAGGGAAAATATTTTTTTGGTTAAACTATACACTGAAGGGATGGCCAACCTACATTCCCTTGCACCTGAAGTTTTGTCTGAGATGCTCAAAGTTGGCGTGGTTTCCTGCCGCTTCGAGTGAAATAAAGCACGAAAACTGTTCTGAAGCTCTAAAATAGTCTTAAAGTAGTTTTAAAATATAAGATAAAGAAAACCTGGGAAAATCCTTGTTTTCTCTAAAACTTCCCAAATTTTCCCTCTGACTACTTTGCATCATTGATCTCCTCACTATAATCCTTGCATTTCTCTCCTAATGTTCACTATAACATCTGACCACAAAATGTTGCTCATCTCAGGTGTTGAAATTCTAAAATATTCTCTAAGAAATGCAATATGTTATTTCAGCGCCTGTCATTTTCACCCATACCAAAGATGTACATCTCATTTTTCACTTCACATTAAATTTTCAAGTAAAATAGTTTAGAGGGAAACAAGAAAGTCTTCCTTCGTGGTGGTATCACTACCACCAGTATTAACTTCTTACTAAACAAATTTCTCCATGTGTTAACTTATTATAGTTGACAGCGAATACTAACAAAGCAAACCCATATAATAGTCTGTTTTCTAGTAATACAGTAATCTGACTATCTGAAGTCTTCTTTCCACCAAGAAAGAAACTTTGACCCAGAAATAGCCTTATCAGAGGGACTGAAAGTTACTCCAGCAGCTGCCCCAAGCAACAGGGCTACCATCCTACTACAACAACGTACTTTGTCCTAGTTTTTGGCACCACTTTGGAACAGCTTAAAGAGAGCTTTGACTTTAGTAACTGCATATTAATAACTCTTGTACTTAGCAGAGCTGAAATAAGCCACTGAGTGTTAACAGTGTCAGAAATAGTGAGTCCTCCCACACTATTGGATTTTAAACTGTTTCAAGCCCTTATAAGGGACGGTTAACACAGCTTGCGTCACTCTCATCTAAAGTCATTTTCTATCCATTTTCTTGTGGTTGCTGGGAAGCAGGGGATGTGGTGGGAAGCCAGTCTTTCTAACAGAGAGTTTAAGGACAAGTGAAATGCACTTGGGGAAAAAAAGAACACTTTACTTCAACTGTGGAAGCACCCTGGCTGCCTGTGGCATTGGAGGGCAGGCCACTGTGAGTGATGGGGGTGCTTTTTGGTTCAAAGTCAGAGTTTTCTCTGATATGGCAGACCTCAATTACACCATGTCATGTTTTCAGTGATGGGATTCAAATATGTGAACTACAGGTTCTCTGCATGGATGCCGCTTCCATAAGTCCCTTCTGGGCCTGGGCAACAAAAAATTAGCTACCGGTTCTGCCGAACTGGTGCGGCCTGGCTGAATCCCACCACTGCAGGTTTTACTTCTGAACAATAGCAAGCTCTTCCTTTTAGTGGGCACCACGGCAATGATCTGGAAAACTGAGACAAATCTCTATTAAGAGCTACTTGAAAGTTACGTGATCAACCCACAAATCATGGCAAATGAACTGATTAAAAAACTCAGCTGGCACTAGAATAGCATGTATCTACAGTGCTGCATTACAGTTGAGCATTGCTTATCCAAATGTGATCTGCATGAGGGAGTTGTCTGACTTCATCAGACAATACAGGAAGTCCTCGTCTTACAACAATTCATTTAGTGACGGTTCAAAGTTACAACGGCAATGAAAAAAGTGACTTATGACCGTTTTGTCACACTTGCAAACGTTGCAGCATCCCCATGGTCATGTGATCAAATTTCAGATGCTTGGCAACTGGTTCATACTTATGACCATTGCTGTGTTCAAAGGTCATGTGATCCCCTTTTGCGACCTTCTGATAAGCAAAGTCAATGGGGAAGCCAGATTCATTTAATAACCAGGTTATTGATTAATCAGCTGCAGTGATTCACTTAACAACTGTGGCAAGAAAGGTTGTAAAATGGGACAAAACTCACTTAACATATGTCTTACAACAGAAATTTTGAGCTCAGTTGTGGTCGTTAAGTCAAGGATGGCCTGCATGCAGAAGGAAACCTTGATAAGCCTGAAATGATTTGCAATGAAGTGCTGTGGGCCAATGAAACAAAAATTCAACTCAACAGCACAGCCATACTCACATAAGCTACATCTGGAGAAAAAGGAGGGAAACATTTGAAGAAAAGAACCTTGCCAATCATTAGGCCTGGAGTGGTTCTTTTGAGGTTGTGTGGCAGCCAATGGTACAGGAAATGTTATACTGTACAAGAGGAAAGAAGAATAAAATGGAATTAAATCTGGGTAGTCCTTGACAGGTGACCATAATGGAGCCTGCCCATTATGCTTGTATGTCATAATGTTTGTAAAACAAGTCAGTCACATGACCAACCCAATTTTACAACTTCTTTTGTGGTGGTCATTGAATGTGGTGGCAATAAAGTAGCCAGGGTAGTTGTTAAGCAAACTGATGGTTCTCTATGGGTGTGGTTTTGCTGAAACCCGGAAGTGCCAGTCAGGTGATTGTAGAAGATTGCAAATGGCCATAAATGGTCCTGTGACAGTAAGAGGGGGCCCAACTATCAGATTGGGGTCACAAATACTTTTTTTCAGGGTCAGTTGTAACTTCAAACAATCGCTGAGGAACCAGATGTACAGTAAGTCAAGAATTACCTGTTCCAACCTCTCGAAGATCATGTCCCAAAGCCAATGAAGAATGGAAACCTAAAAGATATTGGATATTTCAACAAGACAGTGATCAGAAGCATAACTCTAAAATCACCCTTGAAGTACTTACAGGAAAGAAAGACTCTGGAACTATTTTATAGTCCTAAAACATTCATAAATGTCTCCAAGTAAAATCTCAAGCTTTGCAGTGTATGTATGAAGATTTAAGGATGTTTCACAGCTCAAAGATATCTTCAGGGAAAAAAAGCTGGTTAGAGTTCCAAAAGCAGGAACAGAAAACACTTAGCTGGCTCAGGAAGCATTTGGAAGCTTTTATTTTTGCCAAAGGAAAAGTTACAAAGCGCTCATCAAAAAGAGCATCCAAACATCTGCATCTGCCAAAACCACTATTTTCTTATGCTGAATCAGGAAGCAGCTGTGCCGTAAATAGTAAGCATGCATTCAAATTTGCAAAAAGCTGTCACATTTAGCATTGTATTATGTAGAGCAGCGGTTCTCAACCTATGGGTCGTGACCCCATTTGGGGTCGATCGACCATTTCACGGGGGTCGCCAAGCAAGGCTGTCTGCCATTTTTTTCCCTTTTCTGGCGGGTGCGTTACCTCCCTTGGGCTGGGCCAGCTGGTGGCCCAGCCGGTGGTCAGCCTGCTCCGTCTCTGCCGCTTGCCAGCTATGCCTCGGCCGGTGCAGGGGGCGGCACCACGCATGTGTGGTGCTTCCGGGCAGGGAAAGTCCTCGACTTACGACCGGTTTAGTCCTCGACTTATGACCAGTTGGGGGTCGCAGCATTAAAAAGGTTGAGAACCACTGATGTAGAGGATGTGTCTTGTCATGAAGAAAATCTACCTACTGGTATGTGGTCACTAAGAGATTGATCAAGGTTGATCAATCAATCAATCATCAATCAATCAAAGAAGTTGTGTCAGCTTTTGTTCAACTTCAGGATTCATCGAAGTACACAAAGTGGCCTGGATTGCCTGAACCTTTGCATGCAATTGTAAAAGAGATAAAAGAGATACAGGACTACAATTCTGATCCTGGCTGCACTGCAGGTTTAAAGTCCAAAAGGTGTGAAGGAGTCATTGTATCGTTGTGCTGTGAAACCAGACTGAATTTTGGTCAACAATATTGTATTTACAACACTGAGGCTAAAAAATCACATTAGCAACATGAAAGAGTAATTATATGCATGTAATGCTTATCAAGTTATTTATAGACTATAAAGCACAGTTAATTTTAAAATTAATTCTGATTTTTAAAATATGCCTGAAAAGTTTGCAAATGAAAACAATTATGGGATGGGGATAAAAATAACATTTTTAAAGCTGGTCTTTTCTTCCTCTTCTGCTGGGTAGTCACCTTCTCTTTGTCCTGATTCCTACTTTTTCTGACCCAGCTTTTTCTCTCTTTGGATTCTGTCCTTCTCTAGTCCTGCTCAGCCTCTTTGCCACCCAGATCTACCTCCATCTCCAACATTTACTTATTTTCTTATTCTTATGCTCAGTTGACTAAGTGACAAAAGCAGGCTGCTGCTGGAAGGAAAAGGAAAGCAGAACTCCTTTGTCCTTTTACTACTGGCAGAATATAAATCAAATAAACATAATAAATGAATGAATAGACTAATGAATGAATAGATAACAAGGAGGTGGAATGCTGATACTATGGATGAATCAAAGCCTAGAAGCAGACTTCCTCAAATATCCAGTTGAGCTCAGGTGACTAGATTGGGGATTGGAGCTGATTGAGCACTGCATCCTGTCCTACCTTCACCTTTAATCTAAAAATTAACAGTACTTTTCCACTGCTGTTGGCCTAGAGCAGGGTTGTCAAACTCGCCACATCACGTGATGTGTTGTGATGTATCACAACTTTTTTCTCCTTGCCGGAACTGGGGTGGGCGTGGCTTCTGCATGACATATCCAGCCCGCGGCCTGGCAGTTTGACACCCATGGCTAGCCCTAGAGCAGGGATAGGCAACCTCGGCTCTTTTATGACTCATGGACTTCAACTCCCAGAATTCCTGAGTCAGCCTAGCCTAGCTGACTCAGGAATTCTGGGAGTTGAAGTCCATGAGTCATAAAAGAGCCGAGGTTGCCTACCCCTGCCCTAGAGCATATTCTTGGGTGACCTTAGTTGCACTGACCACCAGGAGGCAAGAACTGTGTGATTGGTTTTGTCTTTATTGGGACTCTTCAGATGTAGGTAGCCAGTTGTTATGAGTTCCAACCTTCTAGCTGGAATTGAACTTGGTGACCTTCTCATTTTAGATTATTATAAACAGTGCATTAGCTTTAGAAGCTGTTTAGCTCCTGGCACTCAAATATTACAGGGATATCTAGAAGCATTATCAGAATGTATATCTCATCCTTGAGGGCATGACATAATGTAACGCCTATGTCTCTTTTTTTCTGAGAGCATAAGGGAAAGTGGGTTGTGCATACCACACTGATAATATTTGATCCCCTTAGACACAAGCTCCAGTTTAAACTATCATGGATTCTGAAGAAAACATGACTTCATTTTGATATTCCATTTTTTTGTGTTTACAAGCATCTGCACTAGTCTAACCAGATCCCCTCACACGGATTCTGACTTTTCAAATAGACAGATAAGAACTATTTGTTTTTGTTTGTTTTAATCAGTTCCCTTCCCAAAGCTTTTGCCCAGTGTAATTTACAATAAATTCAATTGGCATATAGTCATTCATGAAGCTTTGGGGATGAAACTGGTTCTCTGCAAATAGCCACATACCATTATAAACTGTGCTGCAGTAGTAATTTCTACTTGTGTGGAAATTAAATGAAGATGAAAGAACCTCTATGTCCATTTTAGAAAACAGGTATAGCCTCCTTAATCGGAAATATTTTTCCCCTGAGGGGGAAAAATGTTGCATTTGTCTTGCCATGCCATTGAGAAGAGAGACCCAAATTTGCTCCCAACAGCTTTGTGCCAGAATCATTTTTGATATATAGTTGGGATTACAACTCCTAGAATTTCTATTAGTAGGGCCAGTTGCTGAAGCGCAGGACATGTTATCCCAGCCTATTCTGAGGATGCAGAGATGGACTAATATACATTGCTATAAAAATGAAAAAAGTGCTTAATATACAAGAGAAAGCATTAGTACCTTGAAAGCTATGCTCTTAAGACTATTCTAGAAATTGCAGATTTTTTTCAGTTGAAACATTTCTAGTTCTAGTTTATTTCCTACAAATTGTTCCAAAGCCAATGCTAATGACAATCAATGTTTCACTGATTTTGTATTATGAAGAACTCTGCACCGAGCAAATTTTTGCAATTACTGAGAATGCAAAGACTTTAAAAAGTGACAGTATACAATTTATTTCAGAGAACTGTTCATATCATCAGTCTGCAAATGCAAGTCAGCACCACCAAAGCACTATACTTAAGTGAAAATTATAAAACCTGTGGTGCTTAACATACCATATCCTATTTCTGATCATTTTAATCTTCTGAAATAACAGGAAGGAAAGTACAGTAGGGTTGTTTTTTTTTTTTTTTTTGTAGTAGTAATAGAAGCAGTCTCTGGGAGTGAACGTTTATTCTTTCTTTCCTGTTTTGCATCTTTGTATGTTTACCGGTACTACATAGGCTAAACTACTGTATACTGTAGTTAAAGCTATTCCACCCAGAACCTGTGTAGCAGTGGTTCTCAACCTGTGGGTCGGGACCCCATTTGGAGTCGAACGACCATTTCACGGGGGTCACCAAACAACGCAGTCCACCATTTTTCCCCCCTTTTCCTTAGCTGTGCTACTCCCTTTTATTCTATTGGCTTTTGAAAGCCAATAGAATAGACTCTCCTGAATTGTCCAGGCTGTCTCTGCCCTGCTGAGCCCGCCAAAAGTCCCATTCTGCAAATAGTGCTGCACCAGTTGAATAGTCTTCGACTTACAACCGGTTGAGTAGTCTTCGACTTACGATCGGTTGGGGGTCGCAGCATTAAAAAGGTTGAGAACCACTGCTGTGTAGGCTTTGTTGTCATCTGTATAAATTTTCTGATCCTAGCAAAGTTTCAGAGACACATCACTTTAGATGGAAAAATAAACTACCTTCTGAGTTGCTTATATGCCATTTTGTCAAAAAATGGACATTACCATTTTACACAGTAATCACCTCTATGCAGTTCTTTTTCCAAGCTCTTCAGTAAGATCCATGGCAGAGAAATGAAGCCAGGCATTGCAGTGTGGGGAATTGCAACAATTTCAAGAGGAAGGACTTACAATCCAGTTGAGTTCTGAATCCAATTTAAACTAAGCATTGCAGTCTAACCTGTATCGAAAGGCATATTCAGCCAGTTAGCTTGAATATATTTTAAAATGCAGCTATAAATAAGTCTGCATCAGTTGCATGATTAGAAACGTCTATCAGTGTGTTTCTTTTACCAAAGGATATATTTTTTTCCATGGGGGCAGGGTTTTTTTATCATTACTGTAATTGGGTTCTGGGATTTTGGAACACCATTGAGGAAAAGATTATATCAACAGAAACAGAGTAGCAATCATTTTCACACATCAAGGGTCAACTTACTCCCCTTCTGCTTGTCAGGAACACCAAAGATGATGGCAGCATATGTGCAGCCCCTTCTCAGAATACAGGTCTATACTGATCAAGGAGAGAGGCAACCTGGAACTAAGGAGAAACTTCCTGACAGTTAGAACAATTAACCAATGGAACAACCTGCCTCCAGAAGCGGTGAATGCTCCAACACTGGAAGTTTTTAAGAAGAGACTGGATAGCCATTTGTCTGAAATGGTGTAGGGTTTCCTGCCTGAGCAAGGAGTTGGACTAGATGACCTCCAAGGTCCCTTCCAATATTATTATTATTATTATTATTATTATTATTAGTAGTAGTAGTAGTAGTAGTAATAGTAGTATCACAGTGTCCTACTAACATATGCTTTTTGAATGCTCATTTACACTTGTTGATGATCTGGTGGTATACTTTTTATATCAATGTATGGTCATGAGTGTCCTGTCTCTTGAATGTACTGTATGTTCATACTGTATGTCTTT